CTTGAGTTTATTTCATTTTGCTCGCTGTCTCTCTCTCTGCGCTGGCTGGAAATGATCCGCTGCTAAACTAGACAAAAGTTAGAGTGAAAACTTTCAGAGGGACACGGTGCGGATCACTTTTTATCAGCTTCCCGTTCGCTGTTTAACGATCAACGCGGTGACCTTGACACCACGTTACCTCGCCACCAGCTGACACCCGCAAGGCCCGGTCGGCTGGGTTCGGTGTGGTGCAGTTCAACACTGGTTGCTGCTATCTAAGTGGAACAAATTTGCCAATTAAGCAAATCCGTTCCCTGTCCTCCCCAGGCAGTGGCTTATCAGGCTCATTTGAGTCCGTCCTGTCCCTGCGTTCTCATCAGCATGTGCATCTCTCTATCGCTTTACCCCGAAGGAGAGACTCCAGGACCGACGCAGAATGCAAATCGCACTCTGGGTTTATACTCTTCCTTCAGCGAACACTGAGTGAAGGAGGGGCAGAGCGAGATGGATAAATCAAAGCAAAAACATGGGACAGAAAAAAACCAACCGGAGTACAAGACGATTATTTTAATTTGCTGCAGCGTAAGAATTCCCTGAGATAAGGGACCCGGGAAATGAACCTTCATCACCAAAGAGACTGCATGTATTCTACGATCACAGAGAGACGAGAGGGACAAGAATGTGGTCAGTTACACTGAAGAAGACGGCAGCTGAGGCTGTTCCACCGGTCGACTTCCTCTTTGACGACACTTAGACAAATGCCTTTATAGTTTCACGATCATGCACATACATTAACTGAATTACCATACTTTAGAACAATTTTCAGGTACTTTACGAGTGTTTTTCGGTAGTTTATGTTGTCATTAGTTGCACTAAAGATACGACACTGAAGATATATTGATGCATATACTTTTAGTTTCGTTATGGGCTATTTAGAATGAGCTTTCCACATCTTTAGACAAATTGTTCTTCTAATTCAAAATTAGTATCTCTCCATAAACTTGAGTAATAATGTGATATAAGGCAGTCTAAAAAAGCCCCCATATTTCTGTTTTGGAGTGGTGGCAGCCAAAGCCCTTCATCCTTCTATAGATGCATAAATATTGGTAACAGGGACACACGAGTGCCACAAAGACGTAGCATCTCAAACACTTCAACAGTACTGCAGAGAGGGCGAGTGAGTGATCCTTGGCGAAGGGCAGGTCAATACCGCAGTCATCGATACTTCAACACACAAACACGGCTCACTTGTTATAGATACCAACTGAAAAGTATTGAATAGAAAGTTGTTGTCTTTTTAAGTGTGGTTGCGAGGTTTCTGGCAGACGGGCGACTTAAACACTGCATGTTTGTGCAACTGAACAGACTCTGGTGACACAAGAGTCCCAGAAGTCCACAGCGCAGCCGTCCTTTGTCACTCTGTTTCTGTAAACATTGCAGTAATCAGATGATTTCCCTTTACCCAGTTAGTCATTATATCCACATTACTGAAGACTAATATTAACCCAACAATACTGTTGCAATATTTGATATCAAGGTATTTGGTCAAAAATATACAGATTTTTGATTTTCTCCATATTGCCCTAGTTGCAATAATGGTAAGCAAGTGGCACAAATGGTGACGTAATGTTAAAAGAGAGATTGTCAATATAGTATCAGGGCCTGAGCCAAGGTTTACAGTGAGACACAAAACCGCACCAGAGGAAGCAGGCTTCTCACAGAGGCCACCTTTAGAGGAAGTACTAGCAGACAGACCATCTACCTACACACCTATGTTAAACATATATACTGTTTATATATGGTACCTGGAGAGTGCAGCTTTGGTAGTGTTTCTTTACCGTAGGGGAGGCGGACAACCCTACACCTACAATATCATCGAATACAACTCATCTGCAATAAAAATACCGTAAAGAAACTCATAAAGTTCAGTTTCTGTTGTCGGATATCTTATAATAACTGCACTAAAGTAATGCATTGATTGTACTGTATTAGTGTCCCTGTTATTTTGTCCACCACCATTAGCTTGCTCACTTATAACGGAAATGAGATCACACCAAAGACATCGCCTTTGTGGGTCATTGACACGTCTCTGCATTGCTTCAATAAACTGATTAATGATGCAAAATAGACCGTAGCCGGACATTTATCCAACTCGTCGTTTTTTACTTCCTCCATCGTGATAGAAAATGAGATTTGTCATTGAGAGATACGTTCATAATGTAATACAGTGGAGCACGTCTCTTAATTCCTCGCTGTAGGCGATGCATTTATTTTTACTCAGTGTTTCCTGAGGTGACATATTATCCACTAAATGTTGGAATATATTTAAATCACGCAACATAATGGTTAAATCTCGGTACCTGTCGAGAACAATTTTGACACTGCTCTATAAATATGCGTCTCATCTGAGTACGTGTAGGGAGAGAACAAAGGGCTGGGGGTTAATTCTCCATTCAGTGAATCCTCAGCGTATTTCTCAAACTGTTGTTTAAAGCCGCCTGGAGGAAAGTAGTTCGATAGTTTTGTGTTTTTTCCTGAAATAAATGAAAATGTATTTTCAAGTAATTTCAACATAATGTGCAAAGTAGAGATAGCAATTTGTGCTCGGTGCTTGTATTGGCACAACTGACCTTACGACACTAAACTTCCATAATTATATAAGTTCCTCTTATCAAGCGGTTGGTGGCCAATAGCTCCATCCCAGTTTAATTAGTGTGTCCTTTTTTCCCACGCACGCTATAATTGGAAATAGTTTGCATCTTATTCAGAGTGAAGATATGAAAATATAAGTAATATAAGAGTGGAGCTGCTGAGTCCTGCTTTTAGGGTCAGCCCTGTTTTTAAAAAGCCTTTACGTCGCCTCTCTGTGACACCAGAGATGCCTTTTAGGGAGTCTTTTTGAATACTGCGGACTATACGCAGACAGTGTATAACGTGACCCTGGTACAAAAAAAAAAAAAATAACAGAGCTCACCTCTGTCATCTTTTCGTGAAAGAGGCTGCAGCATTTGCAGAGAAGGTGATAAAGCACAAACCTCCCACTTGTCAAGGTTAATTCCCTACTTCCCAGATACTAGACAGGCCCGCAGTGAAATACAGAAGGCAGGAAGAACAACGGTGTACCACACTTTACTCTATATTTGTATAGATGGATAGATAGATGAATAGATAAGAGTATGTCTGTACTTGGAGAAAAATACAAGATTATAATGTGATTGCAGAAATAATTCTTTAAATTACCTAAAAGCATGATTTCATTTATGATTGAAATATAAATGTACTATTTTCCCACCATGACAGGTTGAAACAGACTGCTGAGTAGATTAATGGCGGCAGCTGTGCAGAATTTCGTACGGCATGGACGGCGACACAGAGGTTGATTCGACATTTAAGGTGTGAAATAGTGAAAGGCAAAGAACACAAAGGCCGGGGTTGATAGAATGACTGACGCAGCCCACCAGTGCGGTTGCTTTGTTCGTCTTGAAGGCTGTGGAGCCAAATGATGAAAAGAGTTAAATTAAAGGCGCATGATGAAAGACTTCTTCGGCCATCAAAAGGACAAAAAAACGTTTGTGACAACATGACTCGTGATTTATTGATTTCCCAGCTCAATTTTTTTCATCCAGGGTGTTTCAAAAGAGCAAAGCAATCTGTGAGTTTGTTGGCTGTTGTTGTATTCCCCCGGCAAATAGACACTCTCCACAAGCGCGCACACGCACGCAAAACACACGCACTGGAGTGCGACCCCATGCACGGCGCTCCCAGTGGGGCGGAGTTTTTAATCCTCAAATACACTGCCATAAATCAAACCCCACTCCCTCGCTCGTCTCTCTCAATGAAAAGCTCAAGCCGGTGGCACATTAATAGCAATTTACAGGACCAGTCATGCAAGCAGAGTAGTATCAACAGAGTGTCCTTTATTTCGTAATTCCTTATTACTTTCACTCACTACATGGACACTGAATTGGAGGAAAAGTAGAAGATGTGACCTACCTGCTGCGTGTGGATGTCATCCACGTTGTGCCTTTACGACAAACCTCTAACCTTACAATCGGAACTGTCTGAATAAATGTAGTGATAATCTATAGCAAAGAAATGTCACAGGGAATAATATTTCACACTACACATTCCATGGTATTGTCCTTGGAAAACCCCTAGAAAGGAGTATATTTAGCTTTAAGTAGTTTATAATCTCTCGCTTTCTTAAAATTGTGTATTTAATTGAATGTATGCTACTGAATAGAGCCCTCCCATTCTCTGTAAACAGCCTAAAGTCTCGGATAAATGGTTGAAATAGTTATTGTAATGTAACAGTTTGGACGTATTATAGTTAAAAGTAGCGATTAACAGTTTGGGTGTAGTTACGAATAAACAGTTGAAATGGCTTAAAGTCACAGATACGCATTTTCAATCAAATTCAATCCACTTTCAATTCATTTTATACGTACAGCCCAAAATCATTTGCTTCAGTGGGCTTTACAATCTGTGCAGCATGCAGCATCATCTGTCCTTGGACCCTCACATTGGAAAAGGAACGACTCCCCATCTCCAGGTTTTAGGGCTCATTCCTGTAGCATTCGATGTGCTTATGTGCTCCTGTATGCTTTATTTCATGCCATCAATCAGGGACTGCAGATGGAGAAATAGCCTGTATGGCTAAGTCTGAAACATTTACACGATGGCTCATGTTAATTAATGTGCATTGTCCCCTCCTAAATAAAAGAGACATTAAACATATTCACTAAAATGCACACGTAAACATGAACTGGTACTGTGGGAGATCTAAAGAAGTTATATTCAGTGTTAAGGAATGACGCACTTTCCTCAGATGGTGTCTGTGATGATGATGGGAAGAGAGCAGCTCAAAGCTACACACACTCACCTCTGCATGTATCAGCAAGTCATTATAACCTTACACTGTAATAAAACAAATGTATTCTGTTAGACCACGGAAACGTTTTAGCACTGATCACATCATCTGTCACATCTTCAAATATCTTTATGTCAAATACTGTTTTCAGGTGGAATGGCTGAAAAATGAAGAACCTCTAAACTCTGAAGGCGATTCGAGAGGCGACCACAATCTGATCGTCTCCGAAGCCCGACTCTCTGATTCCGGAAACTATACCTGCGTTGCCAGCAACATCGTGGCCAAGAGACGCAGCGCCACCGCCACTGTCATGGTCTACGGTAAGACGTGATGTTGAAGATTTGATTCTGTCTCAGCCAAATACGCACGATGGCTTTCTTTAGGGTTTGCAGTACAGGTGATAAAAACAATGTCAAACAGGTGTCTTGTCACTATCCAAATATCGATTTTTCCTCCAGAAGGAGGCTGTCAATTTGGCACCTCTGAATTCCCCAAAGTCATTAATATCAAAATCACCGCTCAACCACAGCGAGCAGTCTTTTTTTCCACGCGGGTCTAATGAGCAGCTAATGGGCAAGTGATCTCTCATGTGTAAAAACACGAAGACACGGGGACAATATTTACAGTCATTTTGTTTTACAAGAAGTGCAGACACTGTTTCCAGCCGGTTTTAAAGCCCCGCAGAGAGCTCTGCAGAGACAAAAGGAGAATAAGTGAAATTATAATGTCATAATAGTGTCCCTTTATTTCACACCGGAGGAATACCTCGTTAATTGGAGTGTTTCTGTGCTCATTTCGCTGACCTGTCATCCGGTTATTTTTATTTTTTGCAGGGAGACATTTAGCTGCTGTAGGAATTCATCTAATTCTTTCTGACACCCCGTTGTTGAGTCCCATCAATCATTTCCTTAACGCTAATGAAGTCTAGACAGGCTTGTCTACTCCCAATAGCCTCTGACAGATGTACAATGGTGGAATACGAGCATTTCTTCCCGTCATCCCGCATTATTTTAGGCAACAAATCAAAGGAAAAAGTAGACAGAAGGGACGACACCATTGATCATCTCTGTAAAGACACCTCAGGTTTTTTTTCCCGGATGAGTCGTTCATTGTCACTTTTGAGTGAAGCCCTGTGATGCAGAAAATACAACACAGAATGTGTGCCAGTTTTCATTATGGTAGAATCTGCTCATCCCTTTCCTTTCATCCTTCGGCACAAACAGTGAACGGTGGCTGGTCGTCGTGGACGGACTGGTCTCCCTGTAACGTGCGCTGCGGTCGCGGTCTGCAGAAACGCTCTCGCACCTGCACAAATCCAGCTCCTCTCAATGGGGGAGCCTTCTGTGAGGGCATGTCTGTACAGAAGAGCACCTGCAACACACTGTGTCCAGGTGAGCACAAGGACGTGGTCTTCATGCTGTTAGTGTTTGTGCAGGCGCCTCAGGAATAGTGCGGCATTTTTGGGAAAATATTGATAATTATCACTCTTATATCTGCTCGTAGCTATAGCCAGCAGCCGCTTAGCTTAGCTTAGCATACTGACTGGAAACAGGGGTAAACAGCTAGCATGGCTCCGTCCAAAGGTAACAAAATCTACTGACCAGCACTAAAGTTCACACATTAAAATGTTACATCTTGTTTGATACATTGCACTGATTCTGTCTTTCTTGTCGAGTCTTTGCACTATAACTTACAGCGATATTGCACATATACATGTTTTTTTTGTGTATATACGTATACATATAGTGTACATGTATTGGCCATGTAGTAGTACACATTTACTAGGAATTTAACTCTCTCATTGTACATAAAGTACACAGAAATAGAGATACAGCTTAAAAACAAGGACTGACAACAAAGCTGATCGACACTAAACATAAACATTAATGTGCATAGATGTATGTTATTATGTACATACCTGTAGGTAAAAGAAGATAAATAAATATATATAAACAATGCAATAAGGAGCAACAATATACAATGTCTAAAATTCTAAATGTTTCTATAAATTATCAACAATAATACAGTACTGCAATGGTGCAAACGCTGGAATAAATATTGAATGACTGTTTTTATTTCTTCATTTATTGCTGCTTTATTCTACTTATTGCCAATTTTATTGATTTCCAATTTAGAACATTTTACTTTTTTAATATACTTTCTGTTCGTGGAGCTGGCTACACTGCAGCTTATTGCGCAATCCTGTATTGTAATTTAAGAGCAACCTTGAAACCTAGAATCCTATTTGTTTCATTTGTACAGAAACATTTCTTGTAGTTTTACAGGGAGTTCTGTGCCGGAACTATCGATCTGAGGAACGCAGTCACTTTCTGGAATTTTGTCATCAACATTTCTGAGCTTGACCAAAGAAAACATCGGCGCACAAACCCCCATAAAACCCCAATGTGTTGAATTTAGACCTCGGCCGTCGTGCAGAGTTGAGATGTAACATGTTCAAAGCTGAGCTTTAGATCTGCTCGTAGTTAATCGTCTGCTGGCTCGAGCTTCATAACTCTTGACAAGTAAGCAAATAAATGTATTCTTAAAGACTGTTTGGCAGCCAACTCTAGGAATGTCAGCATGTCCTTGAATGCATCAGTGTGGAGACGTATCTCTCTGCCCCACTCATGCACAACCCAACAAGTATACAGTAAATGTAACAAAACGTCGAGGCATCTAAATGGTGTCTGTGGCTGATTACTCAGGAGCGTTTAATGCCTCTCTAAGTTGATTTTAATACCTGCAATTAACAGAGAACAATGTTGTTCTTGAAGCTAGGAAATCAGTCTAAAAGCTTGAGGGACACTTTGCAGTTAGTGGACGTCTCCTTTCAACCGGCTACATTTCACCTGGAATGCATTGCACGTCTCCGCGGCTGATAATGACAGTTGTTTGTATCTGAAATCTAATGCAGTGGACCTTTTTAAAAAGAACAAATCAGCAAATGAAGAGGAAATGTTACGGGAAATGGAGAGAAGCAAACAAACAGCAGAAGCTTAGGAAGTGAGAGAAAGAGCAGAGCAGCAGTTCCAGTTATCAAAACTTCCGTGTAATCTCCTCTGCCCGACTGTTTTTTTCGAGACAAGCCTAAATTTATGATTTCAACCACAGCATCAGCATAAAGGGAAATGCTCATCAGGTTTAAGAAGAAAAAAAGAAAGTTATCAGTGGAAGCCATGTGCACTCCTCCAAACATTATCTCCTGCCCCCTTCTGAAGGATTCATCTGAGTTTGAACATAAACAGGGTGCATTTGCGCTTAGATTAGCAGGAAGAAGGAAACCTTGAGAGTGTTTGGAGGTGGAAAGGAGGCTTGATGGAGTGTGGCATAAGCAGAGTGTCTTTGTGCTCCAAGTCAGCGAGGCGGCTCAACATTTCTGGCACCCCGAGGTGGAAAAATGTTTTTGTGAAGTTAGTAGTGCAGCTGTTACCTTGAAAGTGTCTTCCCATAAAGTTAGAGAACTATTAAATGCATCAACTCTTTGCTCATGGATCTCACTCACTAATTTGTGCGTAGAAATGTTTTTACCTTTTCGCCCAAATCTTGTTGCCACCTCCGTGCACATGTCCGTGAATCAGAATCCTTCTGGATTCTAAATACAAGGTGTAACATGGAGAACGCTGTGACATTGTTGTGGGTAAAAAGGCACAATCATTTTCACGGTTGAACATTGGTTACATTTGCACGATCTCATGGCACTAGAGATCGGTGGCAGTAGTCGGTCATTATAGGCCAGGGAGAGGCAACTTTAGGCACATGTGCCACCAATAACACACCAGCACGAGAGCTTCTCTTGGAAATGTTGAAGTACCCTCTCATCGGCATGCCACATTACCTCTTTCCCAGAGCCCGTCCCAGATTTCTCTCCCCACACGCATTCTGCACACTCCTCTGCCTCTGATTGGCTTCTACTTGTTGCCTTCTTCACAGAATGATGTCAACTCAGATGTGGATGGCAGCTTTCTGGCATTGTGCTTTCATATATATTACAACGTCCTGATTGTGGGAGGAAAAATATACCTTTTTTTTTTTTTTTTATGTTGCTGTGCACGTTGCTTTTATGGATGGAATGAATGTACAGATCGTGATATGGTGTCATAGTTAAACTTCATGTGAACCTTGTTGATGCACACAGATTAACGGCACTTAAAAGGTTGCCGACAGTAAAAACAATGAGAACCAAAACTGTGACATTTCAACGTGTACATTCTCAGATACTCCATTGTAAACGAGGGGTGTGACACTCTTCAACTTTACAGTTGGATACTTTAATTCTTCTCAATAAATGAGGATGAAACCTCCCTAATTTCAAAGTTATTTAATACATTTAGGCAATGCATTAGTATATCAATGGATCAAGATATTGTCTATTGCATCCTTAGTTTTAATGAATGTAGTTTTAATATGCCAGGCATTTATTTAATATGTGTGTTTACATTTTCTAGGACAGTAGGCCCCTCATCATTTGTGCGTATGCATGCTCTGAGGAATTTCTACATATATTGTTTGTGAATGATGCTCAGTGTTTGAATCTCATATCAGTGCTTCACCGCTGTATCTTCTTTATTCTTCTGTTCTTTGCCCGTGTGTTTGTTCACACGTTGACAAGATCACAGCGTACTCCGACTGTCCTTTATGCACTTCAAATCTTTGTATGTGCAACCTTATGTTCTTCATGTGCATCCTCGTGTTCTCAAACATCTGCGTCTGATCCCCTCAGTGGACGGCGGCTGGGGAGAGTGGAGCGAGTGGTCGGTGTGCAGCTCAGACTGCGAGAGGCAGCGCAGCAGAGAGTGTACGGCTCCGGAGCCCAAACACGGAGGACGGCTGTGCGACGGGGTGGCGCTGGCTACGGACAACTGCACCGGCGGCCTCTGCACACAGAGTGGGTGACACCGGCAACTATCTCCCTCCGCTTGCTTAGCGATCAGAAAGAAAAACAAAAAGTTCAGCATCATTAATGTTCAGGCACTGTGTCATTATAGATTTACTGCTCATAACTTTTGGCAGTGTGGGCTAGATCATGATCGTCATTATAATCATGCTCATTACCAGCACCCTCATCCATCTTCATATTCGATCCACTCCACATACGTAACACGCCGTGCACAGGCATGGATGCATGCACAAGTAGTAATTAAATCAACGAAGACTAGCGTTCAAAATGGTCAAAGAGAAACTCTCAAATTCTGATGTTTCTCTGTCTTTGCAGATCGAAAGTTGCTCCATGATGCTAAGCCACAGGGTGAGTTCCTCCTCGGCGTCCATTACTTACTGTTATGTTGTTTTAACGATATCACTGTCTGCAACCACGGCCTGGAAGAATAATTTAGTTTATGAAAATGACCGGATAATACTTGATATTGATTGGCTGGAAGATGTTCATTGTTTTCATATTCAGCAACATCATCCTCCTTATAAATTACGTAATACCTGGGCCGCTTCTTTCAGCCGTCATCGTCCAATATTAGCGGGAGTTGTAAAGTAACACGAAGTCCATGTTTGTGTGGCAGCACAGTGTTGTTATTGAGGACCCTCACACACTAATACTGTGGCAGGAAGTGAGAGCAATGTGTCTGAATGGTGCTTTAACCGAGCCCAAACGGGGCACATTGCCACGAAATAGGAAACAATACTTATATTTTGATGTGTGGAAAGCAGCCGGGGAATAACAAGGATAAATCACTCTGACAGGTGTGCTTATGAAAACCAACACTCTCCGCATGACTCATTGTGAATTATCCCGCACTTAGAATAGAGGCAAGAGTCATTTCAGATACAGATGTTCTGACGGACAAGTGATAGACAAGATGTATGAATAATAAGTGGGAAATACAATATAGCATATATGTTGTGATTTTGTGTGTCACGTAGAGTACAGATGTCTGATCGAAGCAATGTTGAGTGAGTGTTTTCTCCACCCGTGGCGACCATTTTCACTCCATTTACAATAACATCTTGTGTGTTGGATCATATCACTTGAAGCTGTAGCGTGTGACTTTTACGAAAATAACTTTTGTCACTATATCCTGACAGCACTACATGAGACACATCATCAGTATAAGAATCAGGTTCCTCTGCCTCCCCTTAGGGCCCCTCGTGGCATTCTCGAGATTCCACCGCGCCCGAAGGAAAACAACCAATCGGATCCGAGCCGTGTCTGACGCCGCTGTCAATCACTGCTCGTGAATTCTGATCAATCTGTCAAACTAGGCGGCGCTGATCAAATATGAATCAAGATTCTGTTGCTGCATTGCCTATTCCTCCACTCAAATGTTTTCAGAAACATATTCTATCTGCAAAATGTTAACAAACAGTCCAAGCACCGGCCATTACTGCCGCGTACTTTGCACCTACAAAGCCACATGCACATTTCGTCCTGACTTGTCCTTTAACTCAGTTACGTATATTTGTTTGTCAGAAACGGGGAAAAGAATGCAACCGCGCTGCCAAAACTTCCCAAGCCCCCAATTAACCTGCTACTGTAGCAGTTAATGCCGCTTTGCATATTTTGTCAATTCCTCCTCATTTGAGCTTCAGGCTACTTAGAGGATTTCTCAGCATGTCCTATTTTCAGCGCAGATCTCATTATCTTTCAAGAACATGCTAGCAGCCTCCTTTATTTCCCGCTCGTTCTTTCTCTTCGAGGAGCCGGACGCCGCTGCACTGGTGGGACAGTAATCATTGCCGATGAGCTAATTTAATGAATTGGTTTTGTCACAGTATCCCAGTGGAACACAGAGCGCCTCCAACACCATGAGCCAAGCAGTGTTTGAAATGACAGTCAGGTGCTGGGTTGATTATAATCGCCTTCCTTCCGAGGTTCCTCATTAGTGGCTTTAACGCTACACGATGGAACAATGAAGCTGTGCATCAGGAAGCAAGGCAGGCGAGGAAAAGGTGCTGAAGTAGTTTTCAACCAGGGTAGACTTGCCTCCTGGAAAAGACTCTCGTATCTTCAACTCAGCTGATGTTCCTCAGCAACACAGATTTTCAGTTTATTCTGGGAGGAAATGTCTCCCTGCTTTCCTAATTACACACAGTTACACACTTAGAGAGCAAAACGTCTCAAAAATCTGCTTCTCTCTCTCTCTTTCTCTCTCTCTTTCTCTCTCTCTTTCTCTCTCTCTTACTTTTCCAAGGTGTGGAGAGCAGCAGTGACGTGGCCTTGTACTCGGGCCTTGCTGCGGGGGTGGTGACAGTGGTGCTGCTGATCATCGCTGTCACTCTCTACCGAAGGAGCCAGAGTGAGTACGGTGTCGACGTCATCGACTCCTCGGCCCTCACCGGGGGCTTCCAGTCCTTCAGCTTCAAGACCTCTCGTCAAGGTGAGCCACTGAGTGTCTTGCAGATCCAATTTACACCCAAAGTTGTGCCTTGCAATGCTAAATCCCTCGGCGCACATTGCTTCCGACCGTAGGTAGCGGGAGGGGGGGGGGCGCCGATGAAGAGAGAGGGGAAAACGATGGAAAGCCGGCACCAGTGATGTTTGGCAGCACACATATCGGTCCGGCTTGCTTGATTTATGGTTGTGTTGTTTCAGCACAATGCTGCAGACAGAATTAAGTAAGTAGGTTTTAATTAAGTGGAGATGTTCTAATTATATATTTCAACGGTAAAGGTAAATAAGAAAACGTCTAGTTTAAAGGAGCAGTGTGTGGGATTTAGACAAACAGTACCTCGCCGCCACTCGGCCTCGGCATCCAGACAGCTCGCTGTGTTTGCCTTTGTGTTTTGGCACGATTGTATGAAGCGTATTACACAATGACTTCCAGCCCAGTGCCTCTATAACGATACATCGACGCGTGTTTTTGAGTTTTTATGAAGTTGGTTTGACGACGCTTTGAAGCACTGGTTGTATCAATACAGCAGTGTTCGTTGCAGACACACCTGGTGGAGATCTGCACCCTCCTAAGTGCACCTTTCATATTATATTCTGCAAATAAATCCTGCTTAATCCTACACACCGTTCCTTTAAGAAGTGGACACATTTGTTTTGAAAGTAACGGCAACTGTTGATTTCCTTATCAAAGGACTCATTTTACTGCCAGTGTCACTTTACTTTACTATGTACTGTTTTTACTTTTACTAAAACCAAACTGGGCTTCAAAGAAAACAGAGGAAAAGAGTGAGATTTCCTGTGCGGTAAAGAACTCCCATTAAATATTGCATCATTATCAAACAAGACTTTTCTCGATTCTTTTCCCATCTTTTCCATCCACCCTCCGTTATTTAAACCACCGCTAACATAATGATGCAATATTTAATGGAGGTTCCTCGATGCTTCCTGTAATAATTCCCCACTAATAATCTGATAGAGGTTGCAACGTATCCTGAGGAGGACATCTTTGATATTTCACTGCATACATTCCGAATATGCAGCATATTAAGTTGTGTAGATAATTAGCTGGTGCCATGTTGGCTGATTTGATTTATTCATTAGCATATGCACGCTGTTTGACTCGTGCATAATCGCACTCGGCACACCCCCGTAAATTAGAGAGGAGAGTTGATACGTTTCAATACAAACACTTTACGGCTCGCTTGCATGTTATCACCTGTCACTCCTGCTGTTGTATGATAGCTGCAGGTATTTAATAAGGCCTGACAGCTGTGGATGATGACTTTGGTTAAGTTATTTTGCTCAGCACAAACTCCGTGTTTTAATTTGCATTGAAAAAAAAATGTTTTTATCTTTATTAGAAAAATAAAATAGCTCAACATACATGAAAGGAGTGTATGTGATTTTGAAGAGCCTCTTCACCATCTAAAGTTAAAAAGGGATTCTTTGCACTTGACTTTGCAACAAGAGGTTGTTAAAGAGCAGTTAAAAACAGGTACTGAAATCGCTCTCCACCACCTAATTTGCATAAATATAAGCCCAGCTGCGGCGCTACATCCACCTTGACACAAGTGGGTTCATTTGGATTCTGGAAATGACCAAACAGGCTCAAGCACAAAAAAAACGGTCCTGCATCCAATAAAAATGGCAAAACTTTAACTTTAAAACAGTTTGATGAAAGATAACAGTCCGCCGTTCCTCTTTAAGAGCACGCAGCTCTTTCAGCAGCGCAGCAATCCAAATGAAAGTAGCCACATCTGTCCAGATACACACATGAACCTCTGCATCTAACCCGTTAGCAGCGGAGCAACTTGGGGTTAAACGGGGATTGAATCGCCAACCATCTAGTTAAATGACACCATTCCACGGACCGCCCCATTTGGATTGCATTCGCCATGAAAATGCAGCATTAAGTGTCTTTGCTTAAGTTATTCATTTCTTTATCCATCTACCTTTTTTGTGTATTGACTGTGTTATTAATATGTCAGTCTGGTGATCGAAGTCAAGAATATGAGGACGTGGTTGATTTGATCTTCATAAAACAACAAAATGAAAAGTGGCTTTCTGTCTGCAATCACGCTATTCTAATTAGTGTGATGATTCAAAGGACCTTGAAAATCCGTTGAAATTGAAATTATGTCTGCAGTTTCCCCTGGTGTTACAGTGAGATGGCATTATAATATAAATGAAGTGTCAGTCTCCTCCAAACGTAAGAACTACGCACGAATGCAGAAGCAGAAGGGAGACCAGGTCTCATTGTTCAGCTTGTCTCCAGATGAAAAGAAATATACAGCAAACGCCCACACTTTAACACGCGGAGACCAGGAGATACAAGATGTGGTTCTGCTCCTATACTGTAAATGTGCTCACATATTAATGACATTTCATGTAATGTAAAATACCAAACATGCATGCAAGCCATACCGTCTTTTGTTTATTTGCATTCATTTGTATATATATGCATGAATTATGCATACATTTCCTTGTAAGTTGAGATAACTACATCAATTATTAAAATGCTTTATGGCCCAAAATGACTGGATTTAATTTTTATGTTTGTTTACTTGAGCCTTCTGGAGATTCTTACTGTGTGTGCTGTAGTGCAGTAAATGTTCCATAGCATACAGTATGCTGCTGAATCTATGAAGCACAACGTGCATTTATTGCTTTATTTCAAACATCAGTATACCTAAAGCAACAAACGTTCCCTGGAAACGCAGGGTAATAAGCACACTTTGGGCTCTAAACCATTTTAAAAATGTAACTCTTATCTATTATTACTCTGACCTTCTGGTACCATAACTTCAGCAAAATATTAAACAAGAGATGTATCATCGGGGTATTGAGTCAGTTTGTGGCATTATTGGTTGTTTTTGGCATTTTCTTGCATACAACAAAACTTCAATTACTTATTCATGATTCAAAATTAAAAATGTAATTTACTAGTGTTTGATTTTTTTGTTTTTATTGTTGTTTCACCCGGCTCCCGAATGCAGCATTTGTGGCCCCGTGTTTCCAGAAGCTCCGGAGCGTGGTGTGTTTTTGCCCAACAGATTGAGGCATATTTTTACAAGGCTGGCATTATGGGTCGCCACAGCCACAGCTCTCAGCAGGGCATAATAAAGTTCGCTTTGATAACACAGCAGGAGCCGGGGAAAGCTTTAATCTCGGTCCCTGTTCTGCTTGATGGAGGGGGCAAAAAAATCAGCCGAAGCCCCATAAAAATCCAACACGCCCCCTCCCCCTCCTCTATGCTGCAGCCTGCTTCAGTACACACCGCTACAGAAGTTACACAGCGATTTCATTTCACCGCTCTCTCGCAATAACGTCCTCGATCATGAGTCACTCCGACAGCAGCTCACCCAATTCCCAACAAAATAAATCGGCAATGAGCGTTTCTCTGCTCATTAAGAGAATCCACGCTGTTTACTTAACCGAGTATATATTCCGTCGTCATTTCAGGCTCGCTGAAACAGCTGTCAACAAGTCATTCATCACCAACGTATTTCACCTTACAATAAACAGATTCATCTTATCTATAATAGCTTGTCTTTGTTTCTCTCTGTGTTTCCTAATTGATCAACGAGGTACAGTGATTTTATATCAGTACAATGTTCATTTTCTTTACTTAAAATTGAGTTTAACCGGTATTTATTCACGACAAATTGTCCCATTGAGATTTATTTGTTTATCTCTTTTCTAAGGGAGTCCTGGCCTAGACGGCAGCACAAAATGCGGTGGTTACACTTGTCTCTTCAATGCGACTTTTGTCATCCGATCACGCCAGGACGCATTAACTGCCAAGTCCGTACGCGCCAAGATCGGATCTCGCTTGCATTGGGATCCGATCAGCCAGACCACGTGCTGAGGTGGTTTTTATGACTACAAAATATATTCATCCGGCAGGGCGCCGCAAGCGGAACAGAGTTCCCATCTGGCGCATCCGATCACAAAAGTCGCATTGAAAAGACAAATGTAACCAGGGCCAATGTTTCACACATTATAGCACAACTAAGAGACTACATTTTCAAAGAAAGATGAACATGCATACAAACAAATGGCCACAGCATGTGACTGATTCAGTGATGCAGTGCACTGGGTGTAGCATAGCAACACTCTCACCTCCGCCTGCACCCCCTGGGGTTGGAAATGTACTGTAAATGTAAAGAAAACTGTAACTATTCATATAATAAACTCTTAATGAATCTGTAATAAAATTCAGTGGTGATATTTCCGACAGACCCCGGGTGTTGATATGTGCAGTTGTCATAATTGAGACATTGGCAAGATAAGGTGTTTCCGACACCTGTTTCCAAGGTGTTGATGTTATCGCCAAAGTCACAGGTGGATGAAAACGAAGTGCCGTGACAAATGTAGTTGGTTGCAAACTGCAGCGTCGACGCTATAAGTCGTAAAATCCTTCTCACGGCACCTTTGAAGATGTGTAATTATTGACGGTAAATGCGTTTTTTCTTTTGTGTGTTTTTCAGCGAACCCCCTGCTTATTAATTCATCCATGCAGCCCGATCTGACAGTGTCGCGTACCTACACCAGCCCCATGTGCTTTCAGGACTCCATTGACAAGGAGCTGATGGCCGAGCGCTCCCTCCTCGACCCGTTGCCTGATCTCAAAGCCAAAGGTCAGAAAATAGAAGTGTTTTGAAAGCGTGTGGTGCTCAACTACTTTTGGAAAGGCAAGAATTGCAGAGCAGTATAGAGTTCTGCTGTTGCAGTCAGAAGGATAATCCATCTTGCTTTGAACCTGCTTCGAGGCAATCTCTAAGACAGCCGCCATACAAAGAGAAATGGTCATCCCCTTGAAGGGCATCGCGAATTGACCATTCGTTAAGCCGCGTCCTCCTCAGTTTACTGTTGCAACGCCTGTCAAGCTTTCCGTTCTTGCACGGCACATCGAGTTTACAGTGATACAGATTTGCCGCTCTAAACGGGTCCTTGACAGAGACAAAGGTACACAATAAGCAGCCTTCTCGTCTCTGGCAGCCATCTGTTCTGCTTGCTGAAATATCAACTGTAAAAGAAAGGAAAAGTTTAGAAAAGTCAAAAATTTCAATGCAACAAACTTTAATCGAATTTTGAGTTTAACTTAATTCCTCAAGTTTTGGCTTTGAGTTCATCCAGCTTAGAGTATTTACTCCAGTTAAAGTCACTCCATTCTTTGAACTTAATGGATGTTTGTGCTGTATGCACTTAGTGTTTTCAGAAAGTTATTGACTTTCATTTCCCTTTTGATCAAACTAAGTTAGAGAGAAGACCGTTTAACTCCTCTGAGTTGACGTTATATAATTGGTCTAATATTTTTGATCTGAGTTTGTATAACTGCAACAAAGTCCCTGTTATGTCCTTGTGTCTCTAGGGGTGGCAGAAAGGGCAGAGTACCACGTCATGTCCCACCCGCAGACATTTCCAAGGGGCCTGGCTCCAGACTACAGAGGGGTTGCAGTCGGGACGACGCTGGGCCGAAGAGGCAAAAACCTCTTCACTCCACAAGTCTCTCTGACTCCCAGCAGGCCTCTCCACAGAGCAACCGCGGTGTTTGGTCACGCTGGAGGCAAACTGGTGGTACCGAACACAGGTGAGCCCACTGTGGGCAAATCTTAATTCGTTACGTTCCTCTGTGTGCGAACTGAAATTCATTCGACGTAAAACTAGAAATCACAGAGAAGCTGAAATCTATAACTTACCACATTTCGAAACTAGAGCAAAGCTGATACAGGGAATGTTATATTCAATTTCCATGCTATTTGACCTTGTCAGCATTGGCCTGCAGCGAATATGTGGAAATGTCTTTGATCGGCCAAGTAACATGAACATGAATATACTCTTTACTGAAGTGATGAAGTAAGAAACCGACCTCTGCGTCCTGACAAACCCTTCAACATTTCTCAGCGTATGGAAGGTTTTTCTCGCCCTAGTAAATCCCAAATTGTTTGGGTTTCAATGGATGAATTCATTTGAAAAGCATTTTCGGCTTTAGCATTTTAAAGAACACACTGTACGCTATGAAGATAATGTTAACGAGCGCATGTGATGTAAGCCCGTGATGCTCCGTCTACCACATTATTCGGGCCGCTCTTTTTCGTGGCCTACATTCATCATCCTGTCCCCCGAGGGCCTTTAAACTGCAGTGTAGATTGGCAGTAATTGTTTATCATACAGTACAA